CCGAGAGATAGAGAGGAGTGAGAGAGAGAGAGAGAGAGAGACCCAAGCCTCCTGCCCTGAGACAGCGGGGCCAGCTCTGAAAAGCTCGGCAGCATGTGGGAACTCCGGTCCATAGCCTTCTCCAGGGCCGTGTTTGCAGAGTTCCTGGCCACACTCCTCTTCGTCTTCTTTGGCCTGGGCTCGGCCCTCAACTGGCCGCAGGCCCTGCCCTCTGTGCTGCAGATCGCCATGGCCTTCGGCTTGGCTATCGGCACCCTGGTGCAGGCGCTGGGCCACGTGAGCGGGGCCCACATCAACCCTGCGGTGACGGTGGCCTGCCTGGTGGGCTGCCACGTCTCCTTTCTCCGGGCGGCCTTCTACGTGGCTGCCCAGCTGCTGGGGGCCGTGGCAGGAGCCGCTCTGCTGCACGAGATCACACCAGAAGGCATCCGAGGGGACCTGGCCATCAATGCGGTGAGTAGCCCGAGCTGCACCTCCTCCCCGGGGCGGAGGGGATGGAGGGAACAGGTCTGGGTGAGGGCCTGGGTGCGGAGAGAGATGGAGGCTGCGGGGTGGGGGCAGAGGTGCTGGAACCAGGAACACAGCTGCCATAGGAGAACCAGGTGGAAGGAGCAACAGGGCCAGAGCTGAAGCCCATACGATACCCCCGGCGCTGCTGGTACCGTCTGCCCTCCCTCGTGGAGGAAGAGCCTGCATTACAGTGAGGCCTGGGCTAGGACTCTGGAGGACAGGCTCCCAAAGTAGAAGTGCTTTCCGAGCTGGGAGGAACCTCCAAGTGAGTCCCGTGGGTCTTCTGAGGGGAGAAGGGCCCAACTCTCCTTCCGCACTGGCCTCAGGCGAGGGGCTCCTCACAGCCTCACACTGACACCTCGCAGCAGCGCTGCAAAGTAGGGATGGGTACCTCCTTCCTTGAGAATATGGAAACTGAGGCTCAGAGAGGGCAAGTGCCACAGCCAGACTCAGGCCAGGCTTGGCTGCAAAGCTCACGGTCTTCCGGCCTGAGCCATCACCTAAGTCTTGTTTTGCAAACAAGGAAACGGAGGCTCGGAGAAGGGAAGTACAAGCCAAAAGTTCTACAGTGTGTCAATCCCAGAGAATGTGCCAGAACCCAGGGGAAGCAAAGGGGCACTGTCTCTCCGGACCCTGGAGCCCGTGCGCTAACTGCTGACTCCATGAATGGTGGCTAGCCGGCACTTGGGTGCGTTGGGAGCTGAGGGTGATGCCGCAGCCCTCTCCACGCCCCCACCCGCTCCTCTACTGGGTCTGGGCAAGGCCTGGGCATCTGAGGGCGTGAGTGGGAGGAATGGTCCGTGCCCCTCATCAGAACCCTGACTCCCCCCGCCCCCCAGCCCAAGCCCAGGCAGCAAGTGCCTCTTTCGGGCCTCAGTTTCCTGCATTTGGGGGCCTGATCTGTCCCTGGGCCACTAGGTTAGAGCTCTGGTGTCTCTGAAGAGTCCTGCACAGTCTCTGTGGCCACCTCCTCCTCGGAGTGGCCCTTTCTCATACGAGGGGCATAGGTATCCCAATCGGGGAGCTTCTCTCTTCTTACTTCTTCCGAATGGACAATGCGATGGGGCTGGGGGCTCAGGGCTGAGAAAAGCCTAGGATGGCCTTGGCAGGGGACAGACTGAGGAATGTGACCATTTCCATTGAGGACAAAATTGGTTTAGTTGGCAGCAAGGAGAGGTTCACTTAGACTGAAAGAGCAACTTCCTGAGAACAGGGCCAAGAAAGTCTCAGAATGTGACTGAGGAATCTCCTCTAATAGCAGGACGACGGGGCTGCTAAGGGGGCAGGGAGAGTCTCTGTCCTGCTCCTCCATCATGTCAGAGTTGACCTGAGCCCTCAGAATGGAAGGGTCTGGGAGGTTTCCCCCAAGGTTATTACTACCTTGGGGAACTGAGGAGAACCCCGCCTGGCTGGAGGGACGCAGCAGTGGGCTGACTTACCCTGAGGCTAGAGGGAGCCAGAAGACTTTAAAGTTGTCCCAGGTGTCTTCTGAGGTCCCTAGAAAGGCTAGCCTGGCCACCAGGGAGTTACCATTGATGTGCACCTGCTCTGTGCCAGGCCAGATATCATCTCATTCTTGGTATAATGCTGTAAGGTGAAATCTGTGACCCTCTACCATGAGTGGTAAACTGAGGCTCAGCATTCAACTGATTCAAGTCACAGAACCAGTGTCAGTACCTGGAAATGGACCCAGAGCCATCTGAGACGTCCACACCGTCTCCCTTTGAGCAGCCATTTACCAGCAGGAATGGGGCTGGGGCTCTGCCACTGTCGATTCCAGTCCTCACACAGTCCTCCTGAATTTTGTTATCCCCATTTTACAGAAGGACAAACTGAGGCTGAAGTAAATAGGGGCCCATGGTAAGTCAGAGGCCTCCAAAGTGTCTGCCTTTAAAGTGCTTTTCACTGTCTCCCATTACAGGCTTTGACATTGGGTCTCAGGGGATTGAGAATAGGCCCTAGGAGACCCAACAGTGACAGCCCAATGGCGAGGATCCAGGGGTCGGATTTCAAGGCCTGAAGAAGGGGCATGGGAGGTGAGAGCTGTCACAGCTCTACCTGGTTCAGTGCCCAGCCCCAAAGGGCAGGGTGTAGGGCACAGAATGACAAAACCCAGAGAGAAATCCAGTTCTGGGTGTGGTCCAATTATGAAATTACCTCTTTGCTTGGCCTCAAGTTCTCTCATTGCCCAAGGCAGGGTCTGCTGGGGTCATGGGCATCCCACATGGGTATGGAGGCATCACAATGTAGGGCTCCAGCACCCTCACCTCAACTTCCATGGTATGTGCAGAGAGCAAATCCACAGGGCAAAACTGAGGCCTGGAATGCAGTGGGAAACAGGCAAAGTCAAAGGGAACAGTCAAGGGTTAGAGGAAAGAGTCATATGCTAGACTTGTGGGGGGTATGGGGCACACTAGGACCATCCCCAGACCCTAGTCCCTGTCCCTGGGAGCCCTTTGACCATAGGCCTCTGGTTACATCAGTATCTTATGGCCTAGGGAGAGAGGAAGGCCTTCCTGTTACCTGGCCTAAACTTCCTGCTGTATTCAAAACTGTTTATCTTCTTGCTCTTCAAGAAACAGAAATTTTAGCTCAACCAATATGGCTCAGTGGTTGAGCATCGATCTATAAACCAGGTGGTCATGGTTCAATTCCCGGTCATGGCACATGCCCGGGTTGTGGGCTCGGTCCCAGGTGAGAGGCGTGCTGGAGGCAGCCAATCAATGATTCTCTCTCATCATTGATGTTTCTATCTTGCTCTCCCTCTCCCTTCCTCTCTTAAATCAATAAAAACATTTTAAAAAGAAAAGAAAGAAAGGAAACAGAAATTCTGGATTCCCCATCCTTTTCCGCTCACATTGTAGGCACATAATCCCAGCCCCCGAATCTAATGGGCTATGGAGCATTTTTCCTACCTCTGACTGGGGAATCGTCCCTCTGCCTTTGGGCCACGGGCTCAGGAGGAAGCCATCAGTCGTTTGGACTGAGGTGGCTGGTGAGCCCAGGTGTTCTGGCTCCCAGCCAGCCCAGAGGCCGCTCTGGAGTCTTGGCAGGACGATGGAGCCAGTGCGGGAGCTGTGCTCACTGTTTCCCCCTCTGTCCTCAGCTCAGCAACAACACGACAGGTGGCCAGGCGGTCACGGTGGAGCTCTTCCTGACCCTGCAGCTGGTGCTCTGCATCTTCGCCTCCACCGATGAGCGTCGTGGAGACAACCTGGGCACCCCTGCCCTGTCCATCGGCTTCTCCGTGGCCCTGGGCCACCTCCTTGGGGTAGGTCATGGCCTCAGCCTCACACAGACTCTCCCCCAAAGAAACACACCCAGAGACCACTCTAGAGACAGATACACCGAATCCCCCCCACAATGGCAGACAAAGACCCCAGAGGGACAGACACAGACTCCCAGGAAGGACAGACACACCCCAGAGGGTCTGACTGCCAGATACCTAAGGCCAGATATCACTCCAGCCGCCAAGGAATAGAGCCCAGTAAACAGAACATGAACTTCATTGTCCGCGGGGTGGACTCCCCTCAGGTTGAGCTCAGGGTCTGGAGAGGGGCACAGGACTCCCTGCCCAGTCCTCCCCCTTTCTCTCCCTCCCCTGCCTCCCACTGCAGATCCACTACACCGGCTGCTCCATGAATCCTGCCCGCTCCCTGGCTCCCGCTGTTGTCACCGGCAAATTTGATGACCACTGGGTAAGGGCAGAACCCTCCCGGCCCTCCCCTCCCACCCCCAGAAACCCATCTCAGCCCGGGCGGGAGCAGACGGGAGAGGGGGGACCCCACACCTTCCCCCTGGTCCCTGGGGTCCACCCTGCAGGGCTGGCCATCGCTCGGGCCTCACTGCCTTTGCGAGGACTAAGTGAGGTCACTGGTGCAAACAGACCCCTCGGTGCCTCCGGACTTGATAAACGGTAATAGTTATGCTGACACATATTTCTATTGGGCGCTGATTAGTGCTTAGTGCGCGCCAGGCCTTATTCTAAGTGCTTTGCAAATATTAGCTCCTTTAGTTTTCACAGCAACCCCAGCGGTATTATCATGAAAGGAAACTGAGGCGCGGAGAGGGTGACTATGGTGTCCAAGTCACCCAGGCGCTCCGCTGGGAAGCCGCACCCTGAACCCCAACTCACAGGTCGCCCCCAGCAGCCGCGTGGTCGTTTCTAATCACAGGACGCGCACTTCATACCCGCGTGAGGCCCGGTCCGCACCCGCGGCGGGAGAGGAGCGGGGCCCCGCGCCACCCCGTGCCCTCCGCTCCCGCGCCCTCTGCTCCCGCGCCCTGCGCCCCCGCGCCCAGCGCCCTCCGCTCCCGCCCGCAGGGTCTTCCTGGATTCGGACCCCCTGGTCGGGCGCCATCCTTGGGCTCCCCTCCTTCTAAAATAACGTCTTGGTTCCCGCCTTCCAAAAAGCCTTTCGGGACCCCCCCCTTGGAGAGACCCCGAGAATCCCCCCCCCCCCACTTCGTGTATATCCCCTCCCCGGGAGAGCCTTCCCCCCGGGAAAAAAGGCTTAGGGGCCCCCCCCCCCCGGGGGGGAAGAAAGGGCCTAAGGGCGCCCGCCACCCCCGCCAGCCCACCCGCCCCGCCCCGCCCCGGGTCCAACTTCGGCCCCCGGGGCAGAGTAGCTCCCTCCAGGGCCTGCATGACTCCCAGGGGTGCGGGGGGGGGGGGGAGGGGTGAGCCTGGCCGACCCCGTCTGGAGGCTGCAGGCTGGAGGGTCCCTGGCGAGGACTCATCCCGGGCAGAGGAAGTGGAGTTACTGCAGTAAGGGAGGAAGGGAGCTGGGGACGAGCTGAGAAAGGAGGGCGGGTGAGCGGGCAGAGGAAGATTCTGGAGAGCCTGTCTCCAGTAGTGGGTGGGGTTGGGGGGAGAGTGTGCAGGCCCCGTCTTGGGGGGTCTGGGAATGGGGTTTTGCTAGTGTGCAAGTGTGTTCATTCCCGAATGCCTCTCTGTCCCCAAGTGTAGGATTGTGCATGCTCCTGAGTGTGAGCACGCGGGCCTGTGGGGGTGCCCGTGTGCACTGGCTGGCGGCCTCGCTCTCCCTTTCCCCTTGGCCCCTTCCTCCCTTACTGCGGTAACTCCACTTCCTCTGCCCGGGATGAGTCCTCGCCAGGGACCCTCCCCAGGCGCTCTAAGAGTGTGCCCCCTGGAGAAGGGAAGGGCCTGGAGGCCACTGTGAGAGGCAAGGACCTGAATTCCCCACCTGCCCCTCCTGGAAAATTTCCCGGAGCTCAACGCTGGGCCTAAGACTTGTCAGGACCCATTGCTAGAGGCGGAGAGGTATCGACCAGAGAATGGCTCCCCCAGAAGTGACCCCTGGAAAAAAGGAAAACTGGGTGGCCAAGGACCCCCTTCTGCCCTGAGGGAGGATCTCTCCAAGGGAGGAAGCAGGTGTGTGTGTGTGTGTGTGTGTGTGTGTGTGTGCGCGCGCGCCTGCGACCAACATGTATGCATGTGCCCCCACCTCCAGGGGGCTCTAGACCTAGAGATTAGCCTCCCACTGTGACAGAGAAAACAAAAGTTCTTTGTGGGCCCCTGGCTTTTGTCTTGGGAGAGGGAGAAATTTGCAACTAGACACTTCTTGAAAGGAG